CTTTTACTTAAGTACGAAATAAAGCCCATTTATTATTATTATTATTATTATTATTGGGGACGAACTTTATTTTGAAACCCTTGAATGATTTCGATGTTGGGATCCTTATAATAACCCGAGATGTCGTCTTATCACAATCTCACGTAACCTCGTAACAACCCTGAGAACGTTGCGTGAAGCAGATCGTAATAATGTTGTTTGGTATATAAGATATGCCCTGAAATTTGTTGGGTTACTGTTACCTATATGTTATTCTAGTCGTTTGTTTCAAATATAGCTGCAAATTGCTGCTTGTTTATCGAAGCGGAGTATCAGTCTGGTTGGGTCACGCAATATGCCCATTTGCGAAAACGAATTAGGAAAACGATAAAACATAGCTGTTGCTCCAAAGCAGATATTTTATAAAAAAATTAATTCATAAAGATATCACCCAATATGAATGCAGAATTTTATTCATGATAATTGCTGTATTTTTACTCTCCATGCTACTGGCAAGAAATCGCGAAATACTTAGAGAATGAGTTTTTGTATCCTTGTATACAAGGTGAAAACCTCCCACGACGGATTTATCGAAAACCACTGATTCAAAGAAAAAACGCCGAGACACGTCAGAGGATTTGTCATCTCCTTGAAAATTTTAAATGACAAGGGGTATCGAGTGATAGCTTGCTAGGTCGCTCGAAGTCCTTTATTTTGACGTTTGATTTTTTTTAAATCGTTTTCGAAAAAATCAGAAAAATATTTATTTATCTTAGTTTGTTCAGATAGAAAGCAAAAACACGCGAAAATATCACTTTTTATTTCAATAAATTTTAGGGTTTGCCAAACCTACAATTCGGAAGATTAGACGTGGCAACACCCAAATAACAACCCGGATTTTTTTCCGCATTCTTTTCATCAACACAGGTATCCTGAGCGAGATGTACGTATTTATTGTTATACCTGTTTAGTTATTTGCTAAGGGAAATAAATAAGTTAATTTGCTGTGCCTTTGTAACAATGTTGGGATAGTGAAAATTAATCTATTGATTCAGATTTTGCTTCCAAAATGGTTTACACACTAGCCGAATGAGTGGAAATGATCCTAATCTATGGTGCCCAAAATCAATGTGCTCGGTAGACTGCCGTCTCGTTTAACGCCAGACATCCGGGGAAGATAACTTCGCACAGGTATGTTTTGGACCTTGTTACTAAACTTACTCAAACTGAGTCTGTTGAAAATAAAAAAACGTGACCATCGGAGAGTTGGATGAAGCCGCTCAAGTTGAAGTTTTGTGTCATTTTGGAATAAATCCTAATACTTCATCACGTAAAATTGTTGCAGCGACTGGAATTTTATTAGGCTCTGTACACACAGTAAAACACCATAAATTTCATCCATTCAAAATGAAAATATTGCATGAATTAACCGAAGATGATTTCGATGGGCGAGTTCAGTTTTGTGAACTAGTAACTGCAGCGATTAATGATAATACCATTCGTGTTAAGAATATCTGCATCAGTGATGAATGCACATTTTATCTTAATAGATTTGTTAATAAGCATAACTGCAGGTATTGGAGCAATGAAAATCCTCATGCTTTTGTAGAACGGCATACCCAGCACCCCCAAAAAATTTATATATGGACAGGCATTTTAGGAAACAAAGTGATTGGACGATTATTTATTACTGGAAATTTGAATGGAGACATTTATTTGGATATGTTGGAAAATACCATCAATCCGCTTATCACTGAAACCATTGAACAATAAATCGAAAAGGATGGAAACCCCATACTTGATGAGGCTGAAATATATTTCCTCCTCCTCACTATGTTCTTCCGGTTCGGAAATGGCTAGACGACGAGTGTCCAGATAAATGGATTGGGCGAAGAGGGCCTGCTGGATCTCCTGATTTGTCGCCATTAGACTTCTTGCCCCTATGGGGCCGTTTGAAATTTATTGTGTTTACTCCCCAACCTGAAAGTTTGGATGAACTTCGTCAACGCATCATCAAAGGCTGCCATGATATCCCATAACATGCTTTTGAAAATGTCCGTCAGGTATTTGAACATCGCCTACATCATTGTTTGGCCAATAACGGGCAACATTTTAAACACTGATATTTTCGTGTTTTCTATGTGAACAAATTAAGATAAGTAAAGATTTTTCTAATTTTCTTGAAAACGATTCGACCGATTTTAAAAATAAAAGCTCATAATGAAAGACTTCAAAAGACCTTCCAAGCACGCTATTACTTACTCGCTACCCCTTGTCATTTAAAATTTTTAAGTGGGGCCGAGGGTGAAAGAGGATGAAGTAGTTTTTGGTTAAAAAGTTGGCTCCCTTGACAAACCTTTTGACTGCCATGCGTGTCAGTAATTTTCGTTGGTCTGTCGGTACAACTCGCAGTACCGCGCGGAAGGCAAGGACGAAGAGCGAAGAAATACGTCAAAAACTCATAAACTTCGTATTTACTTCTACGCCACTGAGCAACTCTATGCACCTATAAGCCATATTTCCCACATCATAGATTTACCCGTAGGTTCAGCTTAAACACTTGGAGTGATAGAAAAATGTCTTCGATTCGCGCACTCCTGCCTATCTGGGCTCACCGCCTGGCGAACCGGTCCGGTTTATATAACTATCCATACTGAAACGCAGAAACATATTCACGAACCATCCACGAAACGAAAGATGACTGCGTTGCCACATGGACGGTAACTACCAGTAGGGCAGGAAAAGAATGTATATGGACTAATTCTTTAGGGCTGTTTGCATGACTTGAAACGTTTAATTTCTTTGTTATACATGTACGTAACTGACTTTTTTCTCAGAGGATTTAAATTGTGTTGAATTAAACCCTTTATGACCTGATGACGGCGTTGCGTAGGAAGTGCAGAGTCAACCCAGTAGACGCCATTTTTGGTATTTCAGAAGCTCCTGACCATATTCACAAAAAGAATTATAGGAGTTAGAATTTGGGGGTTGGAGGTTGTAGGGAGATCAGAGGATATATCTCATTTTTTCGGCGGCAGTATATTTATACCCTTCCAACTTCGGCAATTCTGCACAACTACCAGAATATCTCACAAATCCTATATCCCCCTGTACATTTGTCCTTGGGCATTAAAATGATGATGAGATATTCTCAACATACGCGTCGCGTATCGATCGCACTGTACAACTACAAACGTATGCTTATTTGCACAAAACCCTGTTAAAGAGGCTACCTTCTGTCCAACATCATATTAGCTAGAAACAGCGTTGCACCAAATGTGCAGAGTCAACTTACTTGAAGCTATTTTTAATCGCAGGTAGCTGCAGTTGACTGGTATGCTTCTATTTGTATAGTCAATGCATAGCTGGAGGCTCGAACCATCTCATTTAAAGTTGAGTATCGAAAATAAAATCAAATCAGAACAAACTATCAATAAAGCTACTATTCAGCTGGAATATCACATGGCCGTAAGCCGTTTATACAAGAGCGACAAGAGCGAGTTCAAAGAAAAATCCCTGCCCGAGATTGCTGACGATTTATATCAGAAAATTCCTGTGGAGCATGTTTTTTGTTTCGTCTGCAATAGCGAGCACTTCTAATCTGCTCGGTAGCAATTATTCCAGGTACCGAGATGAATAGTTTTGCTGCACGTGTTTATAATTTCTACGAGCTAAGAATTGCCCCGCCAAACGGCTTTTACTGCAGCTTCTGTTTGTATAGTTATTGCTTCCGCAATAGCTTCCATGACTGCTTAGAAAAACAAAACATGATGTCACATACTATCCGACATTGTATTTTAGCGTTTGTATAGTATGCGAGATTTTATTTGTACAAATAGTGTTGGTTCAAGATCTGGTTACCCGCTTTGAATTGTAAAAAATTGGATTTTAATCGGATAACAAGCTTTTTTTTAATAATAAGAATACTTGCTGATATCTCAAAGATAAGTAGGCTTCAGCGGCCCAAGTAGCGTATTATAAGCAGAGTGAGTTGAATTCTGGAGTGACCCTGTTGCTTCCCACATCACTGTCAGGGAAGTATTGTAATCACGAAAAATTTCGGAGATATTATGTTTTTGGATGTTATAGTTACGATACGTATATCACGGAAAACCATGTTACTAATTTCCGTCGATCTGTTTTTGTGTCTGTCTGTCTGTCGATCTGTCTATCCGCTAATCCTAGGCCCCGATATAACTTGGAAAGAACTGGTTGTATTTTGCCGAAAACTTCAAGTTAATACTATCTCAAGGACAAAAAAGGTTTGCAGCTCTTGCAAATGGGTCCAGTTGGGGCGGAGCTAGGGGTTGAGAATGGAAAAAATCCAAATCATTAAAACTTCGTTTTTGACGTTTCCTTATTCATCCATATCATTATTTGAAAAATTTTTGTGGAGGGTCTGAAAGTTGTGGGTTGGAGATTGTAGGAGTCAAGGTAGTTGTGAAAGTTGCTTCCTTGGTATCAGCGAAAGACGTTTTATTTTTCAGAAATTTGTGATCGCGCTATAGTATAACCTACCTGTTAGACAGATTATCAAAGATATCTTGCATAACATTTACACCAGCTACCCAGAAACTCGTGATATTCTTTACCTGCGGAGGGTCCAATCTTAATTCAGCAACACCGGAAGTCGTCGATGACGCGTGGCGATGTATGATTCTAGACGTACGGAATTTGTCTAGAGATTATGCAGCATGTATAGTCAGAGACGATTTTTCTAAAAATATTCATATAAATAACTCAATTATATGCATTTTATAACATCTCCGTCTGGAAGGGTTTCTACGACCAGCAAATAGTAAAGAGACCAGACCGTACGAAAGCTTACTCGGATGATCATGATCACATTCATAGTCCATTTGTCCAGAACGGCGTGGTAAATACTCGGACAATCTACTTGACGTTATCTTTGTAAACAGGACCATTAAACAACAAAGTGCCTTAAATGAGATTCGAATGACCACCGTTACTGCTTGGTATGTTTGGCCAAATAAAACTTCTATCTTTGTGATACATTTTTACGGTTTATATAGACTTATCTCACGTTTCAGCAGTGTATAACACAGATTACCATCAAAAACATACTATTTAAGATCCATCGTACTCACTACATTAGTCACGTGATTTTCATTTACTAATCATCATCGTCATCATCGTCGCGATCGTCATCATCAGCTGGTGAAAACAAATGATATTCATCCAAAAACCAAGCGAAATTCTTGCCGATGTATCCTCCCATAGTAAGTCCTGGTATAACGACGGAAAATACCTTGATCAGAGCCAAGAATGTCTGATGAGGAGGGTCCCGAATGGCTCCTGATTTTTCAAAGACCTTTGTGCGATTTTGGGTGAGGAGGTTGTAGGAATTTCGTACTAGGAGGGCACTGGATACTAATAATCGGTGCATTGTATGTGAGTTTGAGTGGCGTTGGAGCTTGAAGCTAGTATGAGATGGGTGTCATCGTGACTTGTGTACCGTGTCATGACATGTCAATTGACAAATATACTTCCTTCACTACTAGTTGGACTACGACAGAGTTTTTCAATATTTATATTTTTCTTCTACTAAAATTCAAAGGGAATATTGAGGCTATGTGAATTTATATATGTTTTGAGTTTTTCTTCTTTTAGAACTCTTAGGATCGATATGATCCGGGTATCAAAATTTGCTTCCAGGGTACAAATTCTTATTCTAAAATGTCTCAAGCTAGTGAACAATTATACGAATTGCGTGAGAAGAGCCTCTGATTCCCATATTAAACAAAAAAAATCTTTATAAATCACCTGATTAAGCTACAGAAACCGTTTAGTCTTCGAACTAAAATATGTTCATAGATAGTAAGCTTGACCAATCAGGTAGAAGGCTTTAATCACTTCTCCAAGTATGGATCAAATTTGATATAGCAATTTATAGTTTTATATGACAGCAAATACTAGGCATTTTTTCGAGAATAACAGTGTCAGTACTTATCTGAGAGGTCATTTTGTACAAAGGACATATTTTTAAGCATTGATTATGTCAATTAAGTTACCACTTAATGTTATAGCTTGTAGATATTTGAATCAATCTTTCCCAGTATTTGGCTAGAATACCGTCTGTGTCTTGACAATATTTATGCAAGGATAAATATTGACAATAACCATATATGTAAGAAAAATATTCACGTAACGTATATGTTTCTTCGAGAAAAAGATGACGTCAAGTAGGTTGACTCTGCACTCCCCGCGCATCGCCCTTATGAGTACATAAAAGAATACTATGTTCAACACAAGCTGTTCCGTTTGGGAAAAAATTCAGTCAAGCAGGTCCATAGAATTAGCCCATAGACATTATTTCCCTGCCCTACCGGTAACGTAAAGGTCGCCTCTCCCTGATACGTAACTTGGGCAGCCGCCATGGGAGGTAAAACCACATGAAAATGTGATTATTGCATTTGAAATATGAGAAGGCTTTGCCGCACCTCCAAACTACGGAGCGAAAATTGGTGAGGATGAAATAATGGTAGAGTCAAAAAACTATTATTTATCATAATATTGATTTTAATGCACTGGGTATTGCGCTCTATTTCGACCCTTTGAATTGAGTCGAAAAAGAAGTGTCATTAGGATCAACTTCCATGGTTTGTTCGTTAATATATTACTTATATTTATCGCAGACAGTGAGAAGCCGCAAAGGTGGTAGATCTGCCATCACTGCAACACTGGTTCCTTCAACCTATTGAACATAGATGGCCGTATGGTCCGATGATTATAAGTCGGTCAAGTCAACTTAGCTGTGAAGTCCTGTTTAGCATTACAGTCAAGTATTTAACCAATGTGTTCTATAATTCAATTTATGTCTTCAAAATACTTATTGACTAGAATTTTGCACTACATTGACAAACATCAATGATCAAATTTGACTAACCGCCTACAAACCTAGAAAGAAAGCTTAGAGTAGCATTGCATGGGTAGAAGGTCTTTTCCAGTGGCTGATGCAAATCACGTTATATGGTATGATCCTGCCAAATCGCAACCTCAGTGATCTAAACTTTGACGAGCCGAAACGAAGCGCTTCTCCATAAAGCTTGGGCTCATATAAAATCCGAATGTCCGAGGGTCGCTTACTATGTATTTGCAATAGTTTGTTAAGCACATGCTAGGTGGCATTTTTGCCTCTGAAGTGGGTACGTCTTAAGTAAGTAGTTTCTGTAAAAAGCTTCTGAAATGTTTCTCATAAGTAGATTGATAACCCCAGTTCCGTATTACAAGACCACAAAGATAATATCCGATACTTTTTATAGAATTAAACTTAGGGTATTGATTTCATCTTGCCAATTCCTCCCGAAAACAAAACAAGTATTTTTGCGATCATCTTCGATTTCGCTGGCTTGTAACAAAGTGAGCTTTCCCTTTTTAATCAATTCGGAACCTGGAAATTCCCGAACAAAATAAAACTGTCAGGTAGGCTGAATTAATATGAATAAAAGTACAACCAGATGACGAGTAATCAAAAACGAACAAAGAAACAATTATAACCGTTGAGCTCCCCTCGAAATATTGGAGAGCACTCCAAGGGGATTATGGACCCATCTCTATCGTGTAGTCACGTGACTGCGCTTTGTGCGTCACTATATTGCGAATTACGGCGAGGATTAGGCAATTTGTGTTGCTAGGTGGGGATTTTGTTTCGTTTTCGGGGTTGGGATGATTTCAATCTCGAGAGGAGTATATATGAATAAAATACATAATCATGTTCCACACAAGTATGTATCAGATCTTCGCGAGTGGAGTGGAAAATGAGTACATCTAGCTTACGTAAAGCGGCCCAATGGATATACTCAAATGGTGGGTAGTATATACCGAGAACTTTTCATATCTGAAAATAAAAAAGCTTTATTTATTTTATACGGTCCAGACGCCAAATCGTTAATCTCACATATCTTAGGGACTATTAAACCAAAATTTGCACGATAATACAGTCACCGAGAAGTAACATAAAATTGAGTGCACGGCTAAAAACTTCACTGTGATACTTGATTTTTTTCACTTTTTCGCTTTTTATCAGAATTTACACCTTTTGAGCTTAATATTGAAATTTTTGACCATGTACAATAAAATGCTAAATTGCTAATGAGCAAAAGTGACCGACCGCGAAGCTTTTTGGTTTTTTAGTTATACAAATTTATTCATGCAAATATATTGTTTCAAGCAGCAATTGTGACACAATTTCAAAAGTCCTCAATTTGGTTTCGTCAAAACTTTAGAAAACAATGCTTAAATCTGAACTAAACGTATTTTGGAAGCTAAAAATTCTTGTGCCGGTTTCAGTTTGTATTTTGTTGAGTGCAACACCCTATAAGTTATAACTTGGATTTATCATTATTTCGCAGTAAAATGAGCAATACATGATATAAATAAAATAACTTAGTACTATGTTTTTTCTGTAATTTTTTAATGATTTAATTCCACCAAATCATGTTATACAACAACATGAATCCTGATTTAAAGTGATACAGCATTTAGTACGCAATATATATATATATATATATATCTATGAGCCAAATTCAGTGAGTTTTGCGTACTAAATCAGGATTCATATATATATATATATATATATATATATATACAGGGTGACTTCGAAGTTGAGTCATTTATTTTAACAGTGAATAGATCTGATCAAAAGAAATGTTTTTTCCTTTACCATTTTTCTGGTAAAATTAAAGTAACAAAGTTATAGCCCTTTGGAAGTTTGAGTACCGCCCTGTCTCAATAATAATATTATGTGCTCGTGTTTGGCGACAACGGATATAATCCGCCTTATCGGTTCATCGCATCGAAAACAAAAAAGCGAAAGAATTTGGAACGATGTTTTTACAATTATTTTATTCAGTTGTATACAGTCAGTGTCAGTCGGTAACGCGTGAGTGAATAGTGGTATCTGTTGCGTGGCTCGAACGAAATAAAAAATGGCACATGTTAATGCGGATCGGTTTCCCAATCGAGTGCAACCAAGCCCTCGTGCCTTTGTTAATGTAGTACAACGGGCTCGTGAATCAGGTGACTTAAGACCTCACAGGGCACGGCATGCCGGTGCTCCAAGACCTCACGATCAAATACAGGTCCGCACTGAAATACTTGTCGGGAGGATACTTTATAAAACAAGGTAAATTTTTTTTTTATTTTTACACACATATTTTGGTTTATCTTCATTCTACAATCATTATCTGAAAATTAATGACTCAACTTCAAAGTCATATATATATATCAGTTGGTAGAATAAAATCATTAAAATTTTTACTGAAGTAAGTAAATAGGGTGCATAACAATAATTTCGCCTTTTATTCATATCTCATATTGCTTCTTCTATAGTAAGAATAATTTAGAGCGCGTTACACTCAGTAGGTAAAATTAAAAACAAACACTGAATCCGTCCCTGGAATTTAGGAGTATCATAACATCTTCAGTGCAATTTTAAGCATTATTTTGTGAAGTATCTGTGAAATCAAGTTAGTAGCGCTTAGACTTTTGTGTTTTGTGTCACACAAACTGAAAAAATAAAGATATTTGAGTGAATAAAGGTGTATTTTGTAGATAGACAAATATTCCATTATTTGGCTTAAAAGGTGTTGATTTTGATATGATACAAAGAAGTTAAGAAAATCGAGCCCGGCCTTCGATTCTAAAACCGTCCATCTACTTTTACGTTACTCGTAGATAGCTTTGTTATAGAGCAAAATTTCTACAAAATCGGTTCAATAGTGCATATAAGATATGCGATATTAAAAGATTTGGCATTTTTTGATCACCCTGTGTATCTGTAAAAATTGAATTTTTTATTTTCAAGCATGAAAAGCTCTTGGTCCATACTCTCTATCATTTTACTATGTCCATTCAAGTACGGAGCACCCTATATAATACACAATATCCACATCATTTTCTTCTGAGAGGATTGAATGCTTTGTTCTTAGTTCAAAACCCGCATGATACAGCCGAGCTGAGAAGGAAGTCCATCAGACGAATGACGAAAATTTTTGGAAGCACTGTAACACAGTTTTTTCAAGATCCACCAATCTACAAGTTGGCTGTAGAGATACCATCTGCGCAGCAGATCAAGTGAACATCACGCGGGGCATCCTCACAAAAGGCCGCCATTGGAAGCGTGTGCGATGCGAAGCCCATTGAACGGTCCATCAACATCAAGCAAGCCGGATGGATGATAGCACCGGCATGCGACTTTTCCACTGTGATGCCACCACAGCTACAAATTCAGATCGCGATTGTTTTTGCACGCCTCGGTTGTCTTTTACCGACAACGGTTTGCTTTATAGTCTAGTCGAGCACTAGGTTAGATTATGATCGACAACTAACTCCATAAATTATAATTTGTGGTCTATGCTCCCATTGGAAGAAATGGAAAAGTGGTGTGATCATTTTCTCTTATCCCAAGTACTTCTCCTTCTTAGTCATCATCTTCTTCTTCGATTGCAGTATTACAGGCATA